CTATACCAGAAAACATGAAGCATGGAAATAGCAAAAACAACAATTCACTTTAAATACTGAAAAGCCGGGCTTGTAATCACCAGGGCCAGCCCAGTCACCACAGCAAGGCCAGATTTCTCAGAATGTGACCCAGGACACATTTCCTAGGGCCACCAAGACTACACAGTGAAATCCCAGTGCTGCCTGCGCTGGACAAGGAAAAGTACTTCTGACCAAGCATGCATGAATAAAAACCAAGGAGGGGAAATGTTGTACAGAGACTTCCACTGGCCAACCAACAAAATTCAAGGGTTCTAAAAACTCAGTGGATGTTGGCATACAGGAACATCTTTATATATACTAGTACTGGAGTCCCTTAAGTAGAATTTTTTTTTCATTTCTTATTTTCACAAATAAATCAAGGTTATTGTGTAAAAAAAGAAAAGAAAAGAAAAACTCAAGGGTTCCTAGTAATGTGTTCCCAGGGCAAACTGATCACTCAGGGCTCAGAATTCGTCTCTCTAGATTTGTCTCTGCTAGATCCAGGTGGGTTATCAGTAGGAGAACTCGTTGAAGTAGTATCTTGGTTCTCAACTCCCAGCTGATTACAGGTCTTGTCCCACCCCACGTGCTTTTAAAAAGCTCCAGGTTTGCCAAGCACCAGTGGCTCACATCTGTAATCCTAGCTACTCAGGAGGCTGAGATCTGAGGATGGCAGGCAGTTCAAAGCCAGCCCAGGCAGGAAAGTCTATGAAAAGCTTATCTCCAACTGACTACCAAAATGCAGGAAGTAGAGCTGTGGCTCAAGTGGCAGAGTGCTAGCCTTGAGCAAGGAAGCTCAGACACAGCACTCAGAGCCTGTCCCTGAGTTCAAGCCCCAGGATCAGCACAACAAAGAATGACAACAAAACCCTCCTGGTTTGGTAAGATTTTTCTTATGATCTAGAGAAGCCTAAAGAGCCTCTGAGACCAGCTTAAACTCTGAAGACCACTCCTACTCACTTATACCTCCCTCCAGGATGTACCAGTTAAAGTTCTTCAAAGCAGGCTCCCCTCGAATTCCCATTATCCTTCTCAAGGAGAGCTCAAAAGTTACAACGTTTCACAACTTTTGGATAACCACTGCTACTGAAAAGCCTAAACAGGGGACTTGTTAATATCAAAGTTCATGAGGAACTTCTAGAACCATCTAGAAATAATTTTCTAATAATTTTCATGAAAAGAGAACAAGATCAGATAGAAATTGAGAAACTAGTTCTGGAATGACCGACCAAGAGGATGGCAGCTTGAGGGCAAAAGGTCTTAATAAGCTAGACATAGTGATGTACGCCTGTGATCCCAGTTACATAAGGAGGCTAGAGGTAGGATGATTCCTTGTTTGAGGCTAGCCCTGGGCAAAATGTGGAACCCTACCTGAAAAAGAAACAACAAAAACTAGAGCAAAAATGGGATGAAAGGGCTGGGAAGGTGGCTCAGTGGTAGAGCGCTTGCCTTGCAATGCATGATGCCCTGGGTTTGATTCCCCAGCACCACATAAGCAAAAAGAAAAAAGCCGGAAATGGCGCTGTGGCTCAAGTGGTAGAGCGCTAGCCTTGAGCTGAAGAGCTGAGGGACAGCACCCAGGCCCAGAGTTCAGGCCCCACAACCGGACCCAATAAATAAATAAGTAAAAAAATGGGATGAAATTTGACTCCAATAATAGAGCACCTGTCTAGCAAGAACTGGAATTCAAACCCCAATATGGCAAGGCTAGGCAAGGAAAGGAAAAGAAAAGAAAAAGAGCTATTAAGTTACTTTACCATAAATGCACTTCTCTAACCTTCTTTGGGCTTAAGTAGTGTTCTACTGCACTTGCTTGCCTAAGCCGTTATAACAATTTCAATTTATTTTCCTTTCTTTGCCTTTTTGAGACAGCGTCTTCACTACGCAGCCCAAGCCAGCCCCAAGCTCGCGATCTTTCTGCCTGAGCTCCTGAGGGTTGGGATTTTACTACCAAACTTGTACAATCTTAAATTTGTAATACAAATGACTACTCTGTCCTTCACTACTAAATATTTACTAATAAGAATTGTGCTAGGCCTGGGATGCATGCTGAGTGAGGAAATGAGAAACTAAATGCTTATCATTGTGCTAAACACTGTGAAAGAGAGGCAGTAGTAGAAAGAGCATTACTCAGGCTCAGAGGAGGCTTTTCCATTTCAGTATTCTGAGGAACTAAACAATGTGAAGATTTGGATTTGTTTGCTCCAGACATATGATTTTAAATCATTTTATACCAACAACCCTTATTGATTATTTTCTTGAACCCTAGACACATAACATTACCTAAATCAGCACCATGGTTTCATACAGATGCATAATAAAAGGACTGTGTCAATCTCATAATTCTACTTCTGGAAATGTGCTTAAGTACTGATTTGCCATGTTTTACTGCATTTTTAGGTAAAATGTTATAGAACAAATATAAATAGTTAAGAAAAGGGTGTTTTATGTAAACTGAACAGTTTAAAAATAGTTTTGAGTTTTGTTAGTTTGCTTTAGACTTCCTAAACAGGCCTAAGAGTGGCCTAGTATCCAATGTACCACAAAACATGTTTCTTATATTTAGTAAGTAACTATCTCCAATTGCTGGAAATATATAATTGGTAAAGGTAACAACGCATTATCTATCTCTACTATTACAGCCATATGTGGTTTATTATTCTGAGAGGGGAAGTATCAAAATTCATTTTTAAATTACTGCAAGATGTAATGTTTCAAATATATATAGTTTGAGGGCACTCATTAGATGTTTTAATGTTTTCATATGTTCTTTTTACTCAGGAGGAATCAAACCACAACTTAAAACCTAAGGTTGCACAGTTTTCTCTAGCAATCATTTTGATTAAAAATTAAACTTATTATTTTCCAACTACTTTAAAGAAGAGGTTTCAATACTTTCTTTTGCTTTAGCAGTGATTTTGGACATCTTCAGTCAGGCAGATTTCCTCATTAGCACATCAAAAACATAATGAGAAACTTCAGAAAATGAAAATACAATAATATTCCATTGATAATCTTCATTTCCCTTCACATGAAATGATTCAAATTTCATAACAAGAGAATTACCATTTATCATGGTTTTCTATATTGAAAATGTTCTTCATATTATTCTAGACTATAAAACTTATTTAAACTGTATATAGCAAGGGATTGTTAGAAACCTCTGCAAAATCTTCTCAGATATGTAGACAATAAGTCAAAATCAAGAGTAAAATGCACTAGCAACTTACATTACCAAAATGAAGGCACTTGTCTGAGAAAAATTTGGTTGCAATACATAATTGATACACACTTACTGTTGCTACATAACAAAACAATATCATTTTACAGGGACAAGATGTGAGAAATAGATTATTATTTTTGGTCACATTCAGGAATAGCAGGAGGTAGTGCTTTTACAATGATGGCTATGATATATAATGTAATATAAAATTATACACACTGAAACACAAGTATAACAGGGGAAATTTTAATAAGATCAATGAAATCTTACTGATATTAACATCCTGTTTGTGACATTGTACTCAATTGCAAGACACTAAAAGTACCAGACTCTCTCCTATTACTCCTTACAACTACAAATTAATCTACAATTACCTCAAAATGTAAAAGAGTTTTAAAGATAAATACTTTTTCCAATCTAAATGTTTCTTCCACCTCTACCAATGAAAACACTGAATGAATAATCTCAGTGACAAAAAATTACCACATATGCAGTAATAATTCCCCTCAAAGAAACCCAGAGTAAATATTAAGTCTAGCTATTCTTGCTTTGAGTATATTCTCCATTTATTTTGGTGGTATGTAAATTAGTGACAAAGATCTTATCCTACAAGCTGAAAGTTTATTTTTACACCCTATATATATATATATATATGGATAAAACATGACATTTTAATAAATACATATATAAACAAATTGCAACCATTTCATTCTGATTCTTTGAGTGAATTCCCTCTTAAAATATATGCACTTCCTCTATACAATTTTAAAACTATATAGTTGTATTACACAGCAGTTACCCGTGACACATTTTTCAAAGTGCAATGTAAGTGGAAATCTTCATGGGTTTTTGTTCTGGAATTTTCCATATTTGGCTCTATACAATATTATATAGCATCTATCTATATTTCTCTCTTGAGTTAATGTACATATTGTAGGGGGGTTCACTGTGGTATTTGCATATGTGCACACAGTGTACTCTGAACAAATTCACCTCCCTCCACCATATTCTAAATTGAAGATTTCTCAAGATAGTATTGATAGCTCCCTTACAATGGAAGTGGTAGAATCATCCTAATCCAAAAAGGGAAGATGGGATGACTCCCCTTTCCCGCTTTCTTTTCTCCCTTCTTCCTTCCTCCCTCCCTCCCTCTTTCCCTCCCCACCCGCCTCTCCTCTCTTTTCCCTGAGTGGAAAGAAGAGAACCACTAGGCTTTGTCACACAGCCGGGTCTTTACCCTGCTCGGAATCCCCTGGCCCAGACTCCAGCACACCATCCGCTTTTCCCTAACCAGCCCAACACGTCTGGGATTTCTTTGCTGTGAGGAAGTCGAAGGTGATCCAAGACGGGGTGACAGGCCGAGGCACCCGGACAAAACGGCTTCCCATCCACGTAAAATGACCTCCAGGCAGTCATTTCGCGTGGCCTTGATTTTCAGCCAGACAGTGAAGGCAGGAAGGACGGACCTGGGGCCGCTCAGCCCCGGGCCCCACCCGCGAAGACCCGAATGCTTCCACCCGCAGGCTGGGCGGTGGGTTGGAGGCACTTAAGCGAGACTCCCTTCTCGGGGGGTCCCCATCCCGCAGCTGTCCGGGAGCGGGGAGGCCGGGATCTGGGGCCAGGGGCGGGCCCGGGGGTCCGGGGACCCGGGACCCGGGACGCGGGGCGCCGCGAGGCGCGGGTGGAGGAGAGGCGGGGCTGAGGGCGCGGGAGTGCGGGGCTGGGGGGGTGCGCGTCGGGACGCGTGCGGGCTCACCCGCGTTCTGCAGTGTCTCGATGTTTTGGGGTCTGGTCGCCAGCTCCGCCACCATCTGCACGAACTGGGTGCGAGCCTTTTGGTACTGCTCGAACACTGGGGGAGGGGGGGAGGAGAGAGGGTCAGTGGGGGGTGGGCCTGCCCGTCGAGGGGGCGCCCCGCCGCCAGCTCCGCTGCCCCGTCGGGGGGGGGGGGCGCCCGGCCCGCCACGCCCCTACCTTGCAGCACCTGCCTCTGACTCATGGCGCCCGCGATCGCTGTCCGCCCCGCACCTCCCGGCGGCAACGAGGTGCGGCGACGCGGCTGGGCGGCGGGTCGGCGGGGGAGGCGACCGCCGCCACAACGCCGGGTCTCAGACGGGAGCCGTTCCTCTGTGTACCCGCGTCTCCCGGGCAACCGACCGGAACCGGAACGCCGCCGTCTCGCGGCAACGGCCAGGGCCGGGCGTGACGTCACGGCCGCGGTCCCGGGGCCGCCCGCGTGGGGGGGCGGCGCCCGCACGGCCAGACTCCCCGCCCCCGGGAGGCGAGGGGATGTCAGGGGGAGGGGAGCGGGGCGGACTCCGCCGCCGGGGGTTCCCCCGCGCATCACCCCAGCCAGACGGCCGTGAAGGTCACGCTCCGTCGAATGTCACTCCCCGAGGGCCGCGCGCGGGGCCCCGGCATCCTCCAGGGGGGACCGTGTTCTGTACAAAGTGACCCCAGACCCGCGCGGTGCCCTGGCTGCGAGGCCCAGGGCCGGGGTGCAGGGACGGCCGCGCTCCCGGGGCCTCCACGAAGCGCGTTCGTGACCACGGATCACTGGATCCTGGGTGATTGTCAGTGCAGCCCTCAAGTCCAAGTTTCTACTCTGGCCTCTCTTATTTCAGGGTTCCTGCAAGGTCACTTCCGTGCTCATGCGCTTCGTGACACTAGTGACACATGGGCACTTCTAGAGATGCAGTGGGAAAGCAGAGGAGGGGATAGTATGATAAATACCCTAATTTTGCAGTCTCCACATTTTCACGTGATGTCTAAAACCACCTTTTACCTTGATCCTTCATCTTATTGCTGAGTGATATTTCCCCAAAGAGAGGGAGAGTCTACCTGGAAACCCAGGTTGCCCTCGTTCATATAATCTGAATTCTGTACCTAGTTACTTTTGACAAAATGTCGGTGCCCAGCTTACTACTTGTGCCCTCTCCAGTCTTTGGAAAACTCATACCAAATGTTACAATGACAACCATCAGCACAAATATTTCTCCATCACAAACTACTAATTTCATCAGGTGGCAAACACCACTGTTTACCAGATAGCCACAGCTGTTGTGAAGTGGTAGCTCTTCTTTAAGAGAAGAGGGCATGCAGACTTGGTTGGTTCTCACATTTGGAGTCAGTCCTCTATAAGAGTTTTTGAGATCTCATTTTGTCTAAAACCTCTGATGAAGTCTTGATATTTTGTGGAGCCCCAAATAGTTGGGGAATGGACTAGCTATCCAAGAAAGGAAGGTATGTACAATGGGTTCCTGGACACCCCCCAGAGCCAGAGTATTCATCTTTTATTCTGCAATTCAGAAGCCATTGACATTCACAATCCCTGGACTTAACTATGCTATAAATTTCACAGAAATCTCTATATTTTCCTAACAAGTCTTTTTAAAAAGTTGTAGACTTCCATTGGAGATGTAGTTGCATTGAGTCAATAATTAAAATTGTAAATTAACTACCCTAATTTTATTTTCGGTTCCTTTGTTGCATTATGAAAAAAAATCCCCTTAAAACTAAAAGGTTCTATACTTAGTGCCAGTCTTTAAACAATTTAAGCTCCTAAACGACTATATCTGCCACGTTTAATAACTTCTTTACTATATATACTCCACTTTAAAAGTGTGAAGAGCACATCAGTGAGGAAAATATCAAAATCTATCAATACAACACAATCTACTGATGGAATGCCACAAAGTTTGAAAACTTAAATTCAAATGGCATACAAAGACTTTAGAGAATCTGAGTTGTCAATGCCTATGTTTTAAAATATTGTATTAATTGTCCCTGGCAAAAAACTAGTATAGCATGCCTACTTCATATCCCAATAGTTAGATCTTTGCTTCTTTCCTTTAGCTTTCTGTTTTTGAAAAGTGTTTAAATTTTTATGAAAAAGTAATAGAATAAGATACATGTAAATGAAAATGATATTATTTGAATATAAAATGTCAGAGATTACTTTCTCTGTCAAGAAAAAAAATCTACATTGTCTGACCCACTTCTCAACTTTCTAACTTTAAAATAAAGTATCACTCTATTTTACACAGTTAAATGTGTATTCTGTGATCACACACACACACCTTTAGACTAACAGTTAAACAGTGGAAAAGAAAACTACTTAGAGATGCTCTTTTAAAGAAATGTTATTAAACCAAGATCAGTGTTCTTAAAATACCAGCTGAATTTAGAGATTCATAATGTAGTTTGGACATAAAACTGTATGTTTGGTTTAAGAATAAAGTATTTGAAGAACTTTCTAAAGCCTTGCAGCAGTGAAAAGTTTGGAAGCCTTTGGTTCCTTTTGGGAAAAGCTAATTTTAATACTATATATCATATATAACTTCAAAACCATTTTTTCTTCACTTGGTTTCTTACAGAGAGGGGCTGGAAACCCAACCAAATAAAGCTAGTTTCAAAAATCTTCTTTTGTTTATCTTTACAAATGTCCTTTAAGAATTCAGAAAATCCCATCACCATAGAAATGTACAGTACATGCACCTAAAAGAACTTTTTTTCTAATTTTAACATAGATGTAATCTTTCAACTCCTAGCTGAATTTAACAGTTAAAGTTTTATATATACTAACTAGATATTAAGATCTACACTTTAAAATTCTGTTAAAGTGTCTGAAGTGTGCATCTATCTATCTATCTATATTCCTCTACCAATCCAAACATCAATGTGTGCCAAACACTATATGAGGCAGTATGTTCATGACATACTGTCTTCTGGGGCATGAAGTTTCATAAGCAGCAACTGAAGCCTGTATTAACTCTGCAAACTTAAACCCACTACTGCTTAGACTCTCATTGATCTAACATGCTGTAAATGCTTTTGGAGCAAAAGATGATATGCTTAGGGTGGAGTAGGGAAAGAGTCCTAAGTATTTAAAACATTTAAGTTATGTCCTTTAAAAAATATTTATCTTCAAGTCGTACCAAGGAATCATTTGATGAATACAATGCATCTTGACCAGTTGTTGCCCTCTCTCTAAATCATGTCTTATTTTTAACAAAAATTAGATGTTGTGTCTAGATGTGAAATCTTCTCAAAAAAAGATAGCATTATGATACTTTAAAAGAGATTCAGTTGATAAGTGCCCATAACTGTTGAAGTTATGAATACACAATAATCACACAACCATCATTTTGCCAACACCAAATCTAAACTTACTGGCATGCCTTCATATTTACATGGTTGAACAGAAAAATCAAAGCATTGCATACTCCACAATCAAGTTAGTAGACCCTAAATATTATCTACAATGATGAAAGCAAATATAGGACTATCCTAAATGTTGCAGAGCCCCCAGTTTGGGAAAAATCTAGATTTTACATTTATGTGTGAGCAGATCATCCAATTGTGCCTTCAAAGTTGTTACCAGAGCAGAAGGTATTTGGACATTTCTTTTGGGGGGGGCAGAGGAAAGCGAAGAGAAAAGGATGAACATGTCTACGTATGCTTCTTTATTCTTTACTTTTTGAATCTTTTAGAACCAATGCCATGATTCTGAAACTTTAAAGTTCTTCTCTTTCTATTTAGTGATGAGGCCAGGAGACTGTCAGGTTAACAGTGATTCAGTAGACCTGGATATACCTAAACATGGTTCCTTTTTTAGTATTTGAGTGGATCTATATGGCTCTTTTCCAGCATTTCAGTGGATAAGATTTAAGTCATGCTTTCCACTTCCCCAAATAAACTACTTAGGAAGATTTATTTTTCCAAAAAAGGTAACTCCTAGCATAGGAATTGATACTAAAGGGGGGGGGAAGATGCTTTTAATGTAGGTGTAAAATACAATGTAACATTTCCCAGAACAATGCCATGCACGGATGGGGGAGGGGGGCTATTGCTGCTTAGGGTGTGTGTATTCCTTAAAAAGAAAGAAAGAAAGCAAAACAGTACTTTCTGAGGTGCGTTTTGATTAAAAATTGTACCCAAGCCAGTGTCGCCAAAAAGAAAACCCTAAGAGCTCTGTCAATCTTCTAGATTGGCAGCTACTCTCTCAACTTCCCACCCTTTCTAAATCTTGGAGTTGTTGGACTTGTCTTAGAAATTGTAGGTATGGTTGCTCTCAACATACACACACACACACACACACACACACACACACACACACACATACGCGTGTGTGATTCCTATAGTAGTAATAATTGTTATTAATTTTGCACATCTTTCAAGAGACAGGGAAGGTGTTGCACAGAAAAGAAAGGATCCTCAGAGCCCACTCAGCTGGCGTCTGGGACGCAGCCCACGCGTGCTCGGGTATGAGTCCCTCCAGGGCCGAGTCGCGGCTGCCCACCTAACCCTTAAGCTGGACACCTTCGGGTCTCCGTGCTCCGATGGGGGTAGGGTCCCACGCACGATGACACTGCCCCGACAGGCAGCCGTCGCGTGGGTCGTCGAGCCGTCGGGCTGAGGGAAAGGGCTCTGACTGCATCTGCTTTTGCCTTTCATCTAAAGTTTCTCCAACTTCCAGGAGCGGCTTCACCGTCTCCACAATGTGTCTCCCAAAGAAGGGAGAGCCGGGGATCGCCTGGAGCTGTGCCTCCAAAACTGGGCTGTGGGTCATCCTGGGACCAGGTGGCAGCGGTGGCTTAGGAGCCCGGCGGGGTGCGCGGGCGGCAGGGGAGGAAGGGGCCGGGGCGCCCCGGCCGCGGGCGCGTGTGCGGAAGGACGTGGCGGCTGAGCTGGGGCCTTGGGTGCGTTTGGGGTGCAGGGTGGTCCCCCCCCCGACCCCGCCTCGGCACCCTCGTAGTGCTGCGGGAGGGAGGAGGCCGGAGATCGAGGTGGGAGGGACGGCAGGGCACGAGGGAAATGGAGACGGCCTTTCCTTTCGCTTTGGTCCCCAGGCCAGGCCTCCCACTTGAAATGCAAAGCTGCGCGGGCCCGGGGCGGAGGTGTGGGACGGGGGCCTCCCTTCCCCGCCCCGCCGCGCGGCTGCCCCGCCAGGCCTAAGCAAAGTGCAGCTAAGGAGCCCGGACGATCGCGGAGCACCGAGGCCGCAGCCCTGGCGCAGCAAAGCGTCCGCGCCGCGCTCGGAACGGCCTGCTCTGCCCTGCTCTG